ACCGCACCACTACCAGCGCCGGCCCGTTCCGTACCAGTCGTCGTAGTGGTAGTCGTCGACACGCCGAGAGCGAGTCAGGTACGCGCTGGATGCATGGTCTGCGCATGCACTTCACGGGGCCACATGCGCGCGCGCCGCCGCGCCATTCTATTGGACCGACCTGCAGACTGCAGTCTGCTGCCGACTGAATCAGCACGAGATCGCCTGCAGCTGCAGTCCGTGATCAATCGGCGAGAGAGACGACGAGCGAGCGGACCGACCGCACAGATCGGCCGGGTGCATGCCTCTGCCGCCTGCATGCGCCGGGTTTGGCTGCCAACTGCCCCTGTCCTTGCCTGCTCAGATCAGATCACGCACTTCCGTTCCCGTCCGGTTTATCCAGTATACCATCGAGATCGATGGCGACCTCGCTCCGGCCGCCCCCACGCAACCGCCCGACCGACGTGGCGCGAGTAGCCAGCAGCCACAGTCGTTGGATCGGTGCCGGAAGCCGGCCGGCCGGCGCGGCGGTTACGACGATGCCGTTCCTGGCCCCGACCGCGGCGCCGAGGCCGCGGACCCGGTGACGCGCGCGCTGCCGCTCGCCGTTGCGGTGCCCTTATGCTGCCACATGGATCCGCCTCACGATTGGTCCCCCCGTGAGCGCGCACTGTGCGTGCTCCTGTCCCCCCTGGACGTGCGACGTACCTACACCCCGGACCCCGGACTTGGCCGGCCGGCCGGGGCCGGGCCCGGGCCCCTGCTGGCTGGCTGCTGCCTCGTCGGCGTCGTCGTGGTTGATGTGAGGGGTGAATGCGATCCTTACACTGCAGCCAGGACGGCCGTCCGCGTCTGCCACTGGCAGCAGGGCAGAGCGCAGAGGCATGAATACAGTTCCATGCATGCATGGCGCAAGCATGTGATGCTATATTGCTACGCTAGCTACCAGCCTGCGCGCGGCGGACGGTCGTCTACTGTACAGTCTTATATATACTACAGTGCTTTCTTGTTCGGATGGCTGAAAAAACGGCTGATGCTGAATTGTTGTGAGAGAAAAATATTATTATTTCGTTAAAAAAGTATTGCTAATAAGTCCAAGGAACAGGCTGGCCGGGCCGGGGATGAAATTTGGATAGCTGCAGGCCATGCATGGATGCAGAAAAATGGCTGATGCAGAACATGCATGGATGCAGAATCTGTTTGCATGCCTCCTTGTGGCCGGACTGGGTAGTAGTACGTGGGCTATACTTGGCCATATGGCCCATGTACGAAGGGCCGGCCCAGGCACGACACGCTAAGAAGCATGGCCCAGGCATGGCCCGGCCCGGCTCCCATCGTGCCCGTGCCTGGCACGCGGTCGTAGTGCCGTACCTGGGCCGCCATGTCGACCCGTAGTGCCGGTCCAGGCACGGCACGGATAATAGGCCGGTACGACACGACCTGATCAATTCTAGCCATCGGATGCTTTATGAGGATTCCATAGCCGTTGGATAAGAGTATATAGCACCAAACCCTAACTCCCCCAAGTATTCTTCCTGTAGCCGTCATCTCTCGATCTCTCTCGTCCTCCACGCGTAGTCGCGCCCTCCTCCCCGTGTCCGACTCTTTCTGTCCCTACAGTCCCGCCCAGCTCCTCCTCCGGTCCTCCTGAGCTCCCCACTGTGGCTCCCCATGGCGGCTCCTTCGTCCGTGCTCCCGTCCTTCCCGTTTGCTCGACGGTGCAGCGACCTCTGTGCGGTGGCGCGGCGACCTCGGCGCGCGGCAACCTCTGTGTGGTGGCGCGGCTAGGGGTGCGTCTTCGCGGCGCCGGCGCTCGGCCAGGGCGCAGCGGCACGGCGGCGGCGTGCGGCAGGGGCGAGCTCACGCGGTGGAGACACGTCTGCGACGGTGGCGCGTCCGACGCGAGTGTGGCTCGACGGCGGCCATGGCGACGGACCGTCATGCCCATCGGCACGGCACGGCAGCGCCGCCGTGCCCCACCGTGCCGTGACTCGCCGTGCCAGTGCCGTGCCGTGCCTGTTGGCCATGTATAACGTGGGCTACGCGCAGCGCGCTCGTTGTTCTCGTTTTTCAACGACCACCAACTTTGCTGCTCACGCGTCCTTGAGCCTTCGAAACAAAGCTACAGCAAAGTAGTCGTCGTACGTCTTCTTCAACCGTGCCGGTACCCTTGAGGACGACGAGCCATGTCGCGAAACTAGGAACATGGGCGGAGCTAGTTGGTTCCGTGCCTGCACCCGATCGACGCACCCTCTCGAGTCTCGACATCGCCATCCGGTGATAGCGTCGGCGACGCCGGCCGCCTCCATCGCTGCCATAGTGCCATCCATGGACTTTGGTATTCCCTTTCTTTTCCTTCCTTCACCAGTGGCGCTCGTTGTTCTCGTTTTTCAACGACCACCAACTTTGCTGCTCACGCGTCCTTGAGCCTTCGAAACAAAGCTACAGCAAAGTCGTCGTCGTACGTCTTCTTCAACCGTGCCGGTACCCTTGAGGACGACGAGCCGTGTCGCGAAACTAGGAACATGGGCGGAGCTAGTTGGTTCCGCGCCTGCACCCGATCGACGCACCCTCTCGACATCGCCATCCGGTGATAGCGTCGGCGACGCCGGCCGCCTCCATCGCTGCCATAGTGCCATCCATGGACTTGGTATTCCCTTTCTTTTCCTTCCTTCACCAGTGGCGCTCAAGGCCCCGCGTTCTGTTAAGAGTTTCGAAAGAATGGGGCCCATTTTCATCTCATTTTCGGCCCAGGCCGTTTCCCAGGCCGTCCATTGCGCAGGGCCCATGGAGAAATCAATGGGCCTGAGTCCATGTACACAATCGGGCACCAACAGCCCTTTTGCGAGCAAAATCGTGGAAGCCCAGAAGGAAGGGAAGCAAGAAGAAGAAAGTAAACAAAACGGTAATGATTCCAACCGGGCGTCTGTGTGTGTGTGCGGCGGACGCGTCTCCCCACTCACTATGCTCGCTCCCTCTCGTCCGCACCTAGCCGTATGCCTCCACCGCACAGCCCGCTCCCACCGCGCCGCCCTGTCGCGCGCGCCCACCTCCACCAGCCGGTGGCAACCGCGAGCCGGCGATCGGGCTCCTCCACGTATGCGTCCTCCTCCCCCACCGAGGCGTCCTCTTCCCCCACGAGCCATGCGCCTCGCTGCCTCCCTCTTCCTCCTACTTCGGCGCGACGGCGTCCCCGGCGTGAGTACGAGCTCTGATCCATGCGGCCACCCCCCGGCGACCCCCTTCCTCTTCTCTGGCCAGCCACCCCATCCTCAACTCTGGTGCGGGGACGGGCGTGACCCCGACAGTGGCCCCGGTGCGGGCTCGCGACCTCGGCGGCGGCCCCAGCGCGGCCGCGTGGCCCTGCTCCGGCAACGAGAGCCCCCAATGTGCACAGATCCGGCGACCATGACGCTCTCCACGCCAGGCTCTCTCTCTCTCCCCCTATGTTGCAATTGAATGTTTCAATTGTTTCAGATATTTCAAAGGTATGTTGCAGTCGAACCATATGGATGTTGCAAAAGTAGATCGGGGATGTTGCACATGTTGTATATTTGCAATTATTTTTAGAGGCATGTTGCAATAGTATGTTTCGAGTGTTTTAGATGTATGTTTCATCTATGTTTATCTGGACACATGTTGCAATGGTGTTTATTTGGACGTTGCATATGTTTTACATATATGTTGCATGCGTTTTATTTGAATGGTTGTGTATGGTTGAAATGGTTTTCAAGTGTGTTTCAAGGGTGTTTTTCAAGTGTTTCAGAAGCATGTTTCAACTGTCTTTAGACGTATGTTGCAATCGTTGTTTCTGGACGTTTCAAAAGTAGATCGGATACTGCATCTCTCCTCCTCCCACCTTCTGTTGCATCTCACGGTTGGGAGAAGGGGCGTGGTGGCGTGGGGCGCAGCGGGCGTGCTCCCCTGTTTGCGCGGGCGCAGCGGATGTGATTTCTGTTTCGATTCGGTTTTTACGTGAAGGGGGCAGGCGATTGCATAATGGAGTCGCGTCCAGACGCAGGACCAGAGCCAGACGTCCGGGCGCCAGGCTTGGCACCCGCACCACGATCCTCGATCGATCGCCACACCATCATCAGGCGGCCGGTGGCAGGCTCCGCGCAACCAACGGCGCTGATCCCCTCCGCCTGCAGGCAGCCTTCAGCCGGATACGTATTTATGGTTTATCACGGCCGGCGGAGGACAAGCTCCTGACACTTTACAGGCCACCTTGGACGAGGAGCAACTGAAGAGCAAGTTAGTGCAGGCTGCAGAAGAGTTTACTACGGTACACGAACACAAATGCCTCCGCCGTCGTAGAGCGCGTGGCGGCAGAATAAGCAAACGGCAGCTCGAGTCATGGCGCATGGGCATCCAAAAACCCAAATGCCTGCCTGTGTGGCTGTGGCTGAAGTGACGCTGTGTGCAGTGCACGGCAACAACGGGTGGCTAGGCAAGAGACAAATCCACCCAGGAAGAGAAAATGAGAACGCCACTTCCCTTGTCCTGCACCATTACTTTATACTACGAGTAGGAATGTAATATGTAGGATCGAGTACTCCTCCATTGCCAGCCGCCAGGAATTTCTACTCTACACCACGAGTCTACTATAGTGCGGCCTGCCCCGTGCCTCCAGCCTCTTTCAGCTCTTTCACCATGGAGAAAAGGACTGCATTCATCGTTACCCAAAACAATATCCATCGAGACAACTTTTCACTCTTTCAGCTACAACTAGAGTAACACTAACTTTTCACTCTTTCAGCTACAACTAGAGTAACACTCTTACATGAGCTCAGTTGGTGTGACGAACCCTGGACTCAATCATTTGATACATCTGCATTGCAATACATCAGGAAAGAAGATGCAAATTCCCCATGTGATATCGTCACGGCTGTGCAACAGAGTTCCGAACGTGAACTCCAGGCACCCAAAACCTTCTACAGAACCAAAGCCTAGATAAGATAGGGTGTTCTCTGCTCTGAAACCTCGGATACGTGATACAAAGAAAACAATCACAATCAAAACTAATCCTCGTCCATCCCACCACCAGGTTGGGCATCTCTTCTTGGACCTCCTGCCGGCTTGGCCATGATGATCTGGACAGTTCATATATTTACTCAAAACATTACCATGTGCTCCAATGAAACGCAAGCATCGAAAAGAATTTAGAATGTAAGCTTAGCAGTCATACCTGGTCAACCCGTAGCACGGTGCATGCAGCATCGGCAGAGTATTTTAGGGCAAAAAACCTGTACAACAAAATAAGCAAAGTGAGAAATCTGCTAAGGGGTCATCATAAGCAGCTTAAACTGCCACACAAGAAGTGCAAACCCATGCCCCAATTTGAGGACACGCGTATGTAGACCAACAATGGTGCAAGCATTTTCCACATCCACTGTGCACATGTTCAATTACCACAAAAGATCGAAATCATTCTTAAACCAGCTTACACGTGATTCCTACATCTGATTGACTTACTTTGTGACATAGAGGTCCCATATTTTTAAGGTCCAGATATCCTTGCAGGCACCTTCCTCCAGGTCAATGCCAACTTTCACATTGCCACTAGCATGCTCGGCATAAAGGGAGGATATTATCTCCATTGCGCTAAGTCCAGCATTTTCTGCCAGGGTTCTTGGCACCATTTCAAAGCTTTCAGCAAATTTTGCAATGGCATACTGGTCCAACCTGTACAATTATTAACAGCAACCAACAAATGATTCAGGGAAACATAAATTGATTGTATTTTTTTTACAAAGAGTTAACCCTGCTCATATTGAAAGCAGATTAACTCTTACCCTGTACATGAAAAGTTATTAACTATCATGGTAAAAACAAACTTACCCTGTTTCCTTCAATGAGAACTCCTTCAATCTCTTTGCCAGCTCCATTTCTGTTGCAGCAGCACCAGGAATTATCCTACTGTCCCTGCACATTGACTAGTATAAACAAAAACAGTGAGAACTCGGATAGATTAGCTAAACAGACATGGATGTTACAATACAATAAAAGAGTTAGGTCACATCTACTATAGATACCGCACATATACCTTGTACGTATTGACACCATCGTCAACAGCTCTTTCAAGATCATCTAGTATACTGTCATCATCAACAGCTCTTCGTTTTCAAGATCATCTAGTATAGTGTCAGTACTGCCTCTTAAGACAACAGTAGCCACTGAATTTCCACCTTCTTCGTTCTTCTAACCTCCTGCGTCGGGGGTTTTCTCGATCTGTGAGAAGATCTTCTTCTTAACGGACAGTAACCTTATAAATAAAAAACAAAATAAAATGAATGCTGGCGAGGAGAATAAAGATATATCTTCTGTAAAAGCACAAAGGGGGTAGAACATACTCGAGTACCACCAATTTCTTCAACGGAAACAGAGTCTGCATATCCTAGTTCATCGGCATTGGGTTGGCTAAGTTTCAACTCTATTTCAAAAAAAAAAAAATCCAAAATCAGAATAAGTATGCTACTACGACACAGGAACAAATACATCTGAAAAATCAGAACTTACAATTGCAATAGCCCCAGTAGTACGGCAGAATCTTCTCAGTTCAAACTTCGAGCTGATTTTCAGAACCATCAGTCTGCAAACAGAACATCAATAAATAACTGCTATCAAAAAGGTCTACAGACACATGCATACAGTCCTCAATTTTGGAGAATATATAACATATACGATAATTCTCCAGTCTAAAAGGAATTTTCAACACAGATCAATACTGCACAAAGAATTCAGGTAATCTATTCAGTTCAGAACACATGAAAAGCAAAAAACTCACTTGTAACGTTCACAGAAATGTAGCGGCATGTCACCAACTGCAGCTCCACTGACAATAACCTTGGCACCTGAGTCAGCGACAGCTTTGATAAGCTCCTCCACCTTAGCTTCCTCAGTCTTAGCATAATTTTCTAGCTGCAAAAGCATATGTATTATAGATTCCAACATATATTTGCAGATTACAGCTTGCAATGCACTACAGAAGCAAAGAAATATAATGTGCTCCATTTTTAAGTTCAGCGTATCCATAAGAAATGAATCCACAAATTAAGAAAAAGGAATGTACTGTTGGATGCACGTATACATAACGTAAAACACACAAAGCCAACTAAACAGTTTGCAACACCCAAACCTTCATGAGCATAGTAAAAGTAGGGACGACTTTAACAGAAGTCAAAAAAGATTCTCAGAGTAAGAACATACCTGCTCAGCGGAATGAATCAACACAGTTCCCTTTGTTTCAGTTGCTGAGGTATCGACACCACCAGCAAATACTGCAATCTGAATATTGATTGGTTTTAGAATTCAGAAAGAAACACTGCTAGACATCATACAGAAAAAGATGGGTACTGTGCTGTAACTGGTTAGGTTTCCTGTGCATATTGAATTTCTAGCACCATTTTATAACATATAACTGCCCATTTAATTAAAATCATAGTTCCTATCCATTCATTGGCCTTAGCAGCAGTGTGAACTAGAAAGACATAAATTAATAAAATAGTGTCCTAAAAAAAACTCGACCTGCGGGGGATATGACGGCCCCTGGGCATACTGATAAGAAGAGATTTGATCTTCTCACACAGATCGAGAAAACCCCCGAACCCCCGCCCTCATCATGACGCAGCAGAAATCCGTTGCCCTATGAGAACTGGGCCGGGCCATTCTGCGCTTTGGCTTGTGGGGATGGGCGAGGGGATTTTTTTTACTCCCAGCCTGAAATTCGCTCCCACGGGGAGTCGAACTCAAGACCTGGGGGGTGCCATTAAGATGTCTAACCCAACTGAGCTAGCACTCGTTGGCAAAATAGGGTCCTATGAAGTGTGATTTTTAAGAAACAAAAAAATTTACAATAGCACTGAGCATAACACAAGCAAATGAAATGTGCTGTGCCGTAACCGCTTTAAATAGGAATAGGATTTGGTTTGCCAGGGCTTTATGAGTGATGTAATAATGCTATATAAGCATACATGATTCACTTGACAGTAACAAAATATACAAACAATGAACACATGACTAAATCACCACGAGTAAATGATTATCCAAGAACCAATACTCGTAACCTTGTGAAAATAATATTTAGAGCTCCATCCATTGCCCATTCCATTAAAAAAACTCCAAAAGCAATAAAAAAGAAGGGTATAGAACTTTCACAGGTATAACCAGTGTGCAATGTGAATGAAGAGTAGCCTTTTGAGCTTACCTTTGCCTTCTCCACCCTTTTGATGCTACCAACAGCATCATTTTTCAGAACCATCCCACGGACGACAGAAGAATTGTGCAAACCACCTCCAAGCAGCTTAGCCACTCTAACATTGTCGACATTAAAGTTTGCTGGATTTTTGGGGCAAACTTGAATGCAGGCCTAAAAAACGATACAACAAACCCACTATTAGCTGATATCAGTATGACGTGCGAGGGAAAAAAACAAAGCTCCCTATAAGCTGGTATGGATTAGCTTACATCAGCCACAAGAGGGCACAGTACATCCTCCTGACCAAACTGCTGCTCGCGACAGCAGATCTCATCCTCAACACAACCTCCTCCTTGTTTCTTACGTCCATGTTCTCTGAGCCTTTCTCAACAAGATCCTCCAAGATCTCAATTGTCTGCATACCAAAGACAGAAGCACAAAGAGTCTGCTATCAGACTGCATGTTTCAATGTTACAAAAGCCTACGGGGTTCAGGGGGGCAAGTCACCTTGTTGATGGCTTTGGTGTAGCCAATGATCATTTCACTCGGATGCAAGCCCATCCTGATGAGCTCCTCAGCCTTCTCAAGCAGTTCACCGGCAAACGATATGGTGAGACTGGCTCCATCCCCAATCTCCTCCTGCTGAGCCCTGCCAGCCAGTACCAGGATCTTAGCAGCCGGGTGCTGAACCTCGAGCTCATTCACGATGGTGGCAGCATCGTTTGTCACAAACAGCTTGTCCAAGAGATTGATAACCATCTTATTCATTCCTACATAAAGAAAACAAGTTAAACTACAACATCAAGCAATCGATCACTGGAAGGTTTCAGCATCTAAGTGAAATTTGGTCAGATGTGATTTACATAGTGCAGAAGACTAGGGTACTACAAACTAATAATTGCTTGTGATCCAAACATTGAACAAGGCTAAATGTGATTTCAAACGGCAAACCAGTGTACCAAGCGCCTCAAACTATCCAAACATTCATCAGCCTCGTCACCATATATCCCAATAAGCTCCAACAACCAGGCCACTCCTTGCTCCAGATCCCCCCTCACTCCCCCCAATAGCTCGATCCGGCGGCCTCACGCTACGCCACCGAAGACTGAGCACGCTCTCCTCGCTCCAGATCCCCTCTCACTCCACTACTCCAGTAGTCACCACCCGAGCCCATAACCAGTGCAACGAAGCGAAGGCGCACGCGGAGCACAACTCACCGTTGGGGCCGAGGGAGGTGCGCGTGATGGCGGAGAGCTCGCGGCAGGCGTCGATGCTCTTGAGCACAGCCTCCTCGAGCCCGGAGAGGTGGCGGTGGCCCTCCTTGAGCATCGACTGGATCCCGTTGCCTGCCATCGAGCCGAGCCCCACCATCGTCGTCTCCGGCTGGGTGTGGGGACGGCGGTCTGGCGGCGGGGGACGGCGCCGGCGGCGAGTCGGATCGGAGCGCAGGTTTAAACTCTGATCTTCACGTTGATGTACACAGGAAAGCCAAAATCAAATACTACATCATGCTAATCACCAACCGTGACCTTACTTATGTGGCACATGTACAGGATGTTCAAAATCAGAGAATGTTGAGGAACGTACCTCTGCGGAGGGGATGGAGGGGCCTCGTTGCTAGCACTATGTCGCAGCTCTGCAGAGAGAGGAAGAGGTGAGGAAGAAGACTTGAAGGTCCGGCCATTGGAACCACAAATCGCGCCATCCCACACAACCAGGTGAAGTGGTGCACCCCAAATCGGTGGGATCTGTTCGGAGAGTGAGATTCTGCGCATAAACTCACCTGGAATGGAGAGAGGTCGCCGGAGGGAGGGAGGAAGGAGAGGGCGGCGCGGTCTGGAGAGGAAGGGGCGGCGCGGTATGGAGCACGAGGGCGTTGCTCAAGACCCCGGGCCCATTTGCATCCCGTTTTCGGCCCAGGATGTTTCCCAGGCCGTCCATTCCTTAGGGCCCATAGAGAAATCAATCAGTGGGCCTGAGTCCACATACACATCCGGGCTCCAATAGGCCTTTCCCGGGCGAAGTTTTCGTGGAAGCCCAGAAGGAAAGGGACGGAAGAAAGAAAGAAAGAAAAAAAAGCACCCGCACCAGTGCTCCACCATCCTCGATCGCCACAGCAACAACGCCCAACCCGCTGAAACACGGCTCCAGATCCGGCGGCCGGTGGCGGGCTCCGCGCAACCAACGGCGCTGATCCGCTCCTCCGCCATCTCCGTCCATCTCGGCATCTCCCATCTCCATCGATTACCGCCAAGAGGTAAACACTCCCAAACACCGAGCCCCACGCTCGCTTGCTCTCTCGTGTGACGTGTCGTCGTCTGGGTTCCGATCTCGTCTCACGGGCGCCACCATGGCGGCGGCCAGGGTCTCGGCATGTCGGAAGCGGAGTCCGGCGGCGGCAGCGGCAGCGGCGGGGGGAAGGAGCAGGACCGCTTCCTGCCGATCGCCAACATCGGGCGCATCATGCGCCGCTCGGTGCCGGAGAACGGCAAGATCGCCAAGGACGCCAAGGAGTCCATCCAGGAGTGCGTCTCCGAGTTCATCAGCTTCATCACCAGCGAGTAAGTGCCCGGTGCCCCCTCGCCCGTGATCCGATCCGTGTCTCCAACTTCGGTGCCCTGCCGAGGGTGCCTCTGATCGAGTCGTCCGTGATTTTGATCTCTGCAGAGCGAGTGACAAGTGCATGAAGGAGAGGCGAAAGACCATCAACGGTGACGACATCATCTGGTCCTTGGGCACGCTCGGCTTCGAGGAATACGTTGAGCCCCTCAAGATCTACCTCAAGAATTACCGGGAGGTATCATTCAGACCTCCTCCTCTTTCCTCCAGCTCCTGTTTACTGGGTATTCATTATATTATGTGTTCAACTGCGAAGGCGCAATGTGCATGTTTAGGATGCCTGATTTGAACTAGAGGCTCTATATGTTCATTTGGATTTTGGAGTCATCGGAGCATTGCGCATATATAATTATAGTTACTTGAGCCTCTGATAGGCGAGGAAGGGTGAAGTAACTAGGCATACTGATACTGATGTGGGTTGGAAATTACTGATACTGATGTGGGTTGGAAATTGATTCTGCCATGTTGTATTCATGCAAAAGGGGTGTTGATAATTGATATGAGAGTGTACTCTTCAAGGGCTTCACTTTAGTGTGTTATGTGCTGCATCACATGGGTTGGTTCAAACTGCATTATATCTTTGAATGGCGTAACAGAATTGTCAACAGTAAACTTCCGAAAATTTCGAGGTCTAGAGCATGTTCTTTTTATAATCTATAGTCTACACCCTGTCATTATTGACTTTGTGGTGAAAAATGTGTGCTCACTCAACTACAAGAGTGCCTGTTTTCCAACACAAAGCATCTGGATGCATGTTTGTTGAGAAGTTGTGGGGTTAGCAATTAGATTGTTGGATAAATGAATTTCTCAACTTTACCAGGGCTAAGCAAAATAACTCTTCTTACTGTCAATGTCACATGTACTTGTGTGATTTCCAGTTTGTTTGCCTATAGTCTTGCATTATGCTCCAGACAGTTGTTTCCTTACAGAATCATTTTTCTCCTATGCTGATGGGTTGTTTTTTTATTTTCACCATGGACAACGAACATTGAATGTTTATTATTCTTGATGGCATTGAAGACAGAGGTAATCTTTGCATATCTTTATGAGTGTTGGTAATTCATTGTCTTTTTGTACGATGATTGACTGAACTATGTGCTTTTTCCAACATCTTGTAGGGTGACACAAAGGGTTCGAAATCTTCTGATCAGAATGGAAAGAAACAGATTTTACTCAATGGTGAACCTACACCATCGGTAATATTTACTTTCTGGTTTCAAAACTGCCATCATATCATTTTTGAATTTGTACAGGGTTTACTTCGCATCTTTTGTTTCTAATTTGTACACCATTTTCTTGACGTATCTTCTATTTCAATTGGGATAGTCCTTCATGTCCTAATAGCATAACAGATATCAGGGTTCTCTACATGCCTCGCGTGTCAAAGCTCACGTACACTATTTCAGCACTTGTCATGAGGCATAGATATAAATTTTATGAAGAAGCTTTCTTGACTCACATTATGATTCATTGTGTATTATAACTAATCAGCACATTCTGTTTGGTCGTTCTTCCCTTAATGTTGTTCAGCATCTGGTACACCACGCTGATAATTGTTAATCTTTAGAAACCTGAATGTAGTTCTGACATCCGATCACTAGCAACTGTACTTACAAATTAGAATCATCTGGTGAGCTACAGAAAAAGAACTTAAAATTATATTGCTAGTTAGGACTTCTGTACAATGACCAATATTTGATTAGCATAGCAGTCCGATATGATTTTGAGTTTTCCAACTAATTCTTGGGGTTTGCTATATTTTTGAAATCTATATATAGACAAACTTGTGACTAATTAAAATGCTGATAACCAAACATTGGTTGCTTTTTCATTACAATTTTCTAAAAGCTGGGTTACTTCGTAGCAGATTCTGTCATTTCTAGAGGTACTCCATATATCAGTTGGTAGATTAGGATTTTTTGTCCATTTAGTTCTATTGCTTAGGAGGTCAAACCTAAAAACTACAGACATCAAGATCTTTTTTTTTTTTGGAAACACATAAGCTATATGTGTAGTTTTGTATTAGAAAACATTTGCAAAATCTCATAAGTTTGGAGGATTTTAAAAACACATTTTTGAAGATATTAGCGGTCAAGGACATATGGGCCTGTTCGGCTGCTGATTGTAGGGCTGCTTGGCAGCCATGGTACAGTACCTTGCTCTCACCACAGAAAAAGCCAATACCATGAAAAGTAAAACATGTTAAGTATTTTTGACCGGAGTTAGTAATATCCATATCCTTTGGCTTTGGATGATAGCTTTGGTCTTTATGCCTTCTTGGTGGCCTAACTGAAAATGGTACAAACTAACAATTTTGCCTTTTGATGACAGTTTGACGGCATGTAGGATGGAGGCCGGTGGAAGTGATTGGCACAGCAAACACATTAGATCAAGCAGAGCATATGCCATAGTTGTTTGATGGCACCTAAGATTGAGAGAAATGTTACAGTAAAAGGGACTCACCATCAGTGCCCCTCTACAAGGAGCGCTTCCAAAAACATGTTATTTATGGATGTTAGCTCTCATGAAATTATTATCTTCTGTTATTGGGGCGTACAAACCTCCCTCCCTTCTTAGGTCATAGACTTGCTTATAGTTCAATTGTAGTGCTGTATGAATCTGTCCAACCATGGCAGTTTGACGCTATGCTGCATAAATGAAATCGCCAAATCGGGTACTTGTAGATATCCTGTTTCTACTGTAATGGACTGCACGCAGTTGAACACCTCACGTGCCCTCTGTTGTCGACTCTGAGAAGGTGCAAGTATTGGTTGACAGTCGTACAACCCAAGATCCTGTCATGCAACAGATTCATAAAAAAAAAAAAAGGTAATAAACACTGACGAATAGAGATTGTGTAACGCCTTGGCATATAGTATGTCTCATGGTCCATATTTGATTACTTGTCAAGACAATAACAAATCGTCAAGTTAACAATAGTACACTTTACAATTTACGAAGCTTCGAGAAACAGTGAGGTTAGAGATCAGTACGAATAAACATCAAAATAGGAAAAACATCCACAAAACCAAATAATGAAGACTCAGAGTCCAGGCTTGTGTTTTAGCAGCAAACTCACCTGGATCTCCAGCCTGTTCGTTTGGTCATATTCGGCTTATAAGTCATGGTTTATCAGCCAACGAACAGTATTTTTCTCTCACATCAAACTAGCCAATAATACTTTTTCAGCCATAGCTTATAAGTTAAACCAGTCTAAACAAACAGGACGTTGATAGCGATCCACCTAACTAGACAACGACCACTGAGCTAGAATCCAACGGTCAATTCTACAACCACCCGTTACTTTCCTTTTTTTTTGGAAAAAAAATATTTCCACAACTTTCCTTTTCTAGAAAGTCACAAAGTTATATGGATAATTCAGAGCCATGACTTTTTTTTGAAAAAGTTATTTCCGTAGTTTTTCCTTTTTTAGAAAGTTACAAAGTTATACTCATAACTTTTATGTATAAATTTTTGGGATAAAATGTATCACCATATTTTCTTAGAAAGTTGCAAGGTTATGCATATAACTTTATGTGTAATAGTTTGCGGAACAAATTTTATCAAAATAATTTCTTAGAAAGTTACAAAGTTATATACAAAGCTTTTATGTATAACATTTCGCATAACAAATTTATCACTATAATTTTTTATCATAAATTTCATATAGTTTTTAACGTAACTTTAGATACAACTTATCATGATAACTCCATTATCTTTATAACCCAATTTTATTCATAACTATTATTGGACAAACTTATCATGACAATTTCTCACATAATTTTTCTGGCTCAATTTTTATATTGGCATGGCTAGCGCCCGGACGTCGGGAGGCAGACGGACACGCGTTCGGATGCCTGCGCAGCCCTCCCCCGTCCGCCTTCGCCACGCGCCACACGCGCACTCCGCCCGTCTCTGCGCCCGCCGATTCTTCCCCTAGCCCTCTCCTCTCTCTCCGCGCTGGCGACACTCGGGAGCCGGGATGAGCGGTTGAGGACGAGCAGTGAAGGTTCAACGATAAAGTTGTCCTTACACATTAACAACGGCATAACGCCAACTTCATCCTGCCCAGTTCAATATTTACAAATGTCAAAAGTTTTTAAACCTCACCCCTCAACTAAAAATCTAAAAAACCAACTACGAAGATAACTAAAATGGATGGTCACCAACATCATCATCTCTAGCACTTTGTTCCTCACACTTGTCCTATTTCCTATGCTCCTTTTCATCAGCAGCAATTTCCTTCTCAAGCTGCTGCAAAAAGGAAATGAAATGTTAGAATATAAAATAAAAGAGAAAGAGAAGCAAACAAAAAAAAGAAGAAACTTCAATTTAACCTTTTCCATCTTCTTCTTCGCTTTCATAAAAGCATTTTCTTTGCCACCCAAATTCCAATATTGATTAAAATATTTCTTGCAAAGCATTTGAGTCCGAGAAGAAACTTGACTCAATGATTCCATAGAAGGAAACTTATAATCCTTATCCAACATTTGCTCCTACAAGGGATCTTTTGCCTCTTTCATCAAATGAAAAAGTGTGCGAGTTGCGTACACAAAACTCAAATCAACACTAGTCTGAATAACAGTTGGCAAATCCTCATATTGGCGGCATAACCAAGCAAAGAATGGATCAAATTCATGAAGCTCCCAACAAGGATCTTCTGGCTTCGCACCAAACCTATCATAGCAATTCCTGCAAAGCTCCCATAGACGATTACATTTGTCATGAAAAAATTGATTTCTCAGCAGACTTCTTCTCAAGGTAATTTTTCTCTTTCACAATCTTATCGTAATCTTTCTTCAAATTATCAAAATCTTCAGTATTTGTCTCAAGCCTGGCCCCAACAGAGATACACTTTGACTCCATATCATGGAGAGCTTCAACTACCTCTACTCTTTCCTTTTCTTTAGCTGCAAGTTGAGATTTCAAAGACTTAATCTCTTCAAGCAACCCTTTTTCACGAAGTGCCGCATTTTTGCTTCTTCTTCAACATATTTACGTAAACTCCTTTGCAAAAGAGCACTCTAAAAATACAACTCTATAAAAAATCAAATCATGAAGCCAAAATTAACATACGAAGTCAGACAAAAATATACATACCTTGTAAATCATGGTAACACTCGCATCTGCCAACTCAAGGGAAGATTTCCCAGCAAATTGAGCTTCAGCATCAGGAACTGCGAAGGCATCATCAATATACTTTGACAGCTTTAACTCTAACTTCTTTGGCATAATGTGAAGTCTGTCCAGGCCAATCCCAACAAATTTAAAAGTATCTAAATTCACACCTTGAGCTTGGCAGTACTCTATGCACCTCTTGTATGCCTCAGGGTCAACTCCACCAGGAATTGTTTCTAAGGCTTGAGTAGCAGGAGTAGCAGGCTCCTGAGCCACATCCTTCATCTTCTCAATATCAACAGTTGTCTCCTCATGAGATGAAGGAGCAAGAAAAAATTCCTCAACAAAAACAAACGAAGTCTAAAATAAGAACATAAATATAAAATTCAAATCAAACAACGCAAAATAACAAACAAACTTACCTGTGGAAACACCCATTTCAAAGTTGACATGCAACTTTTTCACCAGTGTTCACATCAATAGTACACTCAGTAAGACAAGAAGCCCGACATGCACAACCTCTTCGTTAAATATATCATCATCAGAATCATCAAAATCAAGGGTAACAATAGTAGTAAGCCTTAACTTTTGGGGCATCAGTCTCCACAGGCGCACCTCCCAAATCAGTATCTTGCATCACAACTTGGGGAGGAGAGGCAACATGGATAGTAACACCAACATCTCCTGTAGATCCTCGAGGAGTTTCAGCAACAAATCTTTGAGAAGATGGCCCAGCAGTCTCCTACAAAGCCAAAGTTTCACCTTCTTCCATTTGCTCTTAGCAGTAGCAGTTCCATCAGCAGCACCGCCAGTATCAAGAATAACAGGAGAAGAAGCAGGAATAGCTGGGGAAGAAGGCAAAGTGTCTTCGCCAACATTTTTCAGAGGCGAAGACAAACTAGCCTCACAAACATCTTCACTAAAATGCAAATTGGCCCCCAAATTCTAGAAATAGTCACCAAGCGGAGTCAACATTGACGGAGTCAAACCACTAGAATTTAAAACTAAACTAATCATTCTCACTTCATCATCGCCTGTTGACTAAGAACCTCTTGATTATCAACATCAAAACCCAAATCAACTTCATCTCCTACAACCTTTTATGAATCAAAAGAAGCTGAAACCTTCTTTTTCTTGCTAGTCTTCTTAGCAAGTTGACCACCATCTCTCTTCTTCTTAGTAACATTTTCTATGCCCCGCTTCGCTGCACGAGTATAAGCTGGTGGAGGTCTGTAACACCCCTGGTGTTAAGCATCACTAAAACATGATCATGTCATCATCATGCGTAGGAATCACTCATAGTAGCTAATCAAGTTTTGCATCCACTAAAAAGAATGTTATTTGATTAGCAATGCATGTGTGTTGTAATGTGTTGAAACCAAAAATTCTTTTAAGGTACTTTGTGACCTTCTATTTTGGAATTTCACTAAAATACTTGAAAATATGCCCCAATAAGCTTTGAGGTGTAAAGTGAGTACTTTACACTAGTGTCAAAGTGTTGGGCATGAATTCAAGTCCAACTAAGTAAAAATTGAACCTCAAAATTCAAATCAGTATTGAAAACCAACAATTAGACAATATTGCCTAAGTCCTGGAATTTGGTTTTGAATTCAATTTTTGGAGGGATTATTAAAATTAATTTCATAAATAAAATTGCTCAAACATTGGTATCATTTGTTAGTATAAAGTTTGTACTACAAGATGGTACTATTGTTTGAAAGGTTTGCTGGTTGACTAATCACTACTTAAATTCCCTAAGATAGTTAACCAAATCAATTTTCAAACCCTAACTGAATTTCCTAAGTCAGTTTCAAAGTTCTCTGTTCCTCATTCAAAATCTCTTCAACCATTTAGAATTAGGGATCGAGCCTATAAGCAAAGTTGGAGAGGATATCAAGGTGAGCAACTTTTGTTAATTAAGTTTTTGAGTTGTTTAGTGGAATCAAGAGATCAAGGGAGGAGAAAGAGATGGTTTCGGTTTCAATCATCAGCGACCATCCTGCTTCACCGATCACCATCGCCTCGCACTCATGGACACGCACCTGCTCGCGTGGCATCGTGAATAATGGCCTCGCACGATGCTTCACTTCACCTCGCCTTTATGAAGCCGATCATCCTCCTTCCTCGCCGCTCCATCGGAGGAACTCCGTGCCGTGTCTCCACTCCTAGATGCCACACGACCTACAGAAGCTCACCATCATCGTCGAGGTCACCCTCATCGTGGTCAGCCCATTTTGGGGCATCTCCCTCCTTTATTTCTTTCATTTTGGGTTGCCCTTTAGGCCGTGATGCTCATTGTCCTCGCCGCTTGTTTCTATAGAGCACCGCTGCACACCTCATTATTGCCATCACCGTTGATGACCTAGTTCCATAGCCTCCTTGGGTTAGACAGATACCGCTTTCAAGTCACGGTCTTCTTTCCTCCTTCCTCCATCTGAATCTGCTCGCTGCTCCAAGTGAAAAGTCTTAATGGTTAGAGGGGGTGAATAGCCTATTAAAATTTCTACAACAACACTAAGCAATTTGCCATGATTTTGTGCCGCAAGCACCTCCTAGAACCACTCAAGCCACCTCTTAGTGAGAGTAATACAATTGAATGAATTGGCTACCACGCTCTATCCTATTTCTACCGCTAAGGTAAGTGACCAATGAGTGCTCGCCATCATCGTCGAGGTCACCCTCATCGTGGTCAGCCCATTTTGGGGCATCTCCTTCCTTTATTTCTTTCAGGTTTTTGAGGGTTGCCCTTCTAGGTGGCAAGCCGTGATGCTCACCAAGTGCCTCTAGATGCTCAAGCAATTGTCTCTCAATTTCACAAAGATGGCCGAGATGAATCAATGATATAGATGAGTGGGAGGGCTTTGGCTAAGCTCACACCGTTGCTATGTCAATGCAAATGGCCAAGAGAGGAGCTTGAGACACCGCCATGGGGCTTATAGCTTGAGATGCCCCATCACGCCATTGTCATCGCCATCACCGTTGACGGCCTAGTTCCATAGCCTCCATGGGTTAGACAGATACCGCTTTCAAGTCGCGGTGAGCTTCTTGTGCTAACACCGCCGTTTGTTTCATCTCAACTGGGCCCGTAATAAGTTTGCGGTCACCTGAACATATTACATCACCATACATCGAGTTTAAACATAGTTATTACAAAACAAGTCGGCGTGAAGCCATTTGTTCAAACCACACGCACTCACACTGAGTTTAAATATAGTGCCAAGTGAAAAGTCCTAATGGTTAGAGGGGGGTGAATAGCCTATTAAAATTTCTATAACAATACTAAGACAAATGATTAGTCAATAAGATGGTGAAGCGAATTTTGTGCTAGCACTATACTTGGGGTTGCAAGCCACCTACCCAATTCTTTTTCTATGATCTCTAGTATGTCACTAATATACACTTAGAAGATCAACCTAGTGAGAGTAATACAATTGAATGATACACTATCTAGTCTTAACTACCACTAGCTCTATCCAAGTGAATGTATAATGAAATACAAGAGAGTGGTAGAGAGGTATACCGCCATGGTAAGTGACCAATTAGTGAATACCAAATGAATACCAAGGAGACAATCAAAACACAATGATTTTTCTTCTGAGGTTCACTTACTTGCCGGCAAGCTAGCCCCTGTTGTGGTGATTCACTCACTTGGAGGTTCACGCGCTAATTGGCATCACACACCAAACCCTCAATAGGGTGTCGCATAACCAACACAAAATGATGATCACATAAGGCACGAGCAATTTACTAGAGTACCTTTTGGCTCTTCATCGGGGAAAGGTCAAGAACCCCTCACAATCACCATGATCGGAGCCGGAGACAATCACCAACCTTCGCTCGATGATCCTCACTGCTCCAAGCCATCTAGGTGGTAGCAACCACCAAGAGTAACAAACGAATCCTGCAGTGAAACATGAACACCAAGTGCCTTTAGATGCAAACACTCAAGCAATGCACTTAAATTCTCTCACAATTTCACAAAGATGATGAATCAATGATAGAGATGAGTAAGAGGGCTTTGGCTAAGCTCACAAGGTTGCTATGTCAATGCAAATGGCCAAGAGAGTGAGCTTGAGATGGCCATGGGCGCTTTCTACACATTTTCAAGTTATCAACAATATACCCCCATGAAATAGAGCCGTTGGCTCCTGGCGGGCGGGAAGGTCCACTAAAAATTGAGGCGCCACCGGACGCGGCGCACCCGCTAGCATCCGGTCAGCGGATGAGAGCGAGGCGGAGCCAGGCGTCATCCCTCTCTTCAAATGCTGAGCGCCCGATCTCAATGGTTAAGTGATGATCGGATGCAGCATAGTGCCAAGACCGGACGCACCTTTGCCGAGTCCGGTTGTTTCTAGAGAGGTTCCATTCATGACCGGACGTGCCAGCTTGTCCAAATATGATTCATGACAATGGGACATGACAGGACAAGAAGTTTTTAAATGCCCCAAATACATCTGGTCACTTCTTTTGAAAATAGCCCAAAATAAAAGCTTAGAATTTAGTTCCACTTTGCTTTGGGACCAACGTGCATAGGAATTGCAAAAGCTAAACCGAGAGGATTTTGACTTGCCCATACGTTAGATCACTCACCTTCTTAATTCTAGATGATTTACAATCATAACCAAACACATCTACTAATGACCAAAATCAGGACAAAACAACTCTTAGCAAGGTGTGTATTCAACATTCGTGATGTTTCAGTATGTTTCAAGTAGTGTTTCACCTATGATTAGGATGCTTTATGATGCATGTACGGTCTTAAAGGCCGAGAGTACCATCTTCTTTTATAATTGATTGGATGTCTTTGGTGGACGCTGGACTCCCCGAGTCCGGCATCACCCACATGACCGACCGAATAGTATTCTGAGTGCACTCTGTGAAACCACCTTCTTTTATAATTGTCTTTTCGAGTATATATGGGCGCTGGTGGACACTCCGTCGGTGGGTGAAGTGAAGTTTCGAACCCTTGCTCCCAAGTGCTAAACACAATGTGTATCACCTTTGTACATGTGTGTTAGCATATTTTCATAAATGTTTTCAAGGGTGTTAGCACTCCACTAGACCCTAAATGCATATATAATGAGTTAGAGCATCTAGTGGCACTTTGATAACCGCATTTCGATATGAGTTTCACCCCTCTTAATAGTATGGCTATCAATCCTAAATGTGATCACACTCTTTAAGTGTCTCGATCACTAAACCAAAAAGCTCCTAACAATTTTCACCTTTGCCTTGAGCTTTTTTTTTTCTCTTTCTTCTTTTCCAAGTCCAAGCACTAGATCATCACCATGGCATCACCATCATCATGTCATGATCTTCATTTATTTCACCACTTGGAGTAGTGCTACATATCTCATAATCACTTTGATAAACTAGATTAGCACTTAGGGTTTTATCAATTCACCAAGACCAAACCACCATCGGTCGTGGTCATGAGAGTAGTTAGCCATGCATGCTCAACTGACCCCTCGGCCATGTTAGCGTGAGCGTGTTGAGTGCACCGGTGGTCCTTGCGTCACCAGTGATCACACTGTTGGGCTGGTCCGTCACGCCGGAGTTCCACCATGCCGCCATCATTGATGGCGAGCTCGCTAGGACACGGTAGAGGTTTGAATAGTAGCCTTGGGGGATGCGTGAGGTTGAGAGGATCACGTTGGTGCAAGTCCCGCCGCCGGAGACCTCACCGGCGATGAGCTTTCGCCATCAACGGTGTTGTCCACCGCGGTCAGCGTGGGAACACTGTACCATGGACCCGGGGCCCACCTGCCAGTCTCTATGGCTGACTATGCGTGGGTGAGAAAAGAGTTTTTGATCTTTTTCGATTTTCAGAAAAGCATAATATGTGCTGATTCTTGGAAAAATCCATAATTAAATAATC